AAGCAAGCAAGCAAGCAAGCAAGCAAGCAAGCAAGCAAGCAAGCAAGCAAGCAAGCAATATCTCAGAATATCTTCTTCCCTTACCTTTGATCTCAGCCTTGTAGCCTCCTAGGGTCCTCTTCTGTGGTATATAATGAAGAACTGCAGTGTCCAACCCACTATCATCACACCAGCACCGCTGAGGTAAGACAACATCATGAAGTTACAACATCTTGTACGGTCAGACAGCATCCGACCAATAGTCTAGGAAAAGAGAAGCGAGCAAATTGACATGATAAGTGAAAATACTCGTCCTCTGTGCCGTCACGGTCACGGCACGACATCGATAAATTTCTCTAATCTTGATAATCTAGCATTTTCATTGACTCGGTAACGGCAGCGAGCGCTCACACTTGTCTAACTCGAAGGATATCATGAAGTCTTTTTCCTTGACTCAGAGATCTATGAGAATTGGAGGCTGCTCCAAACATTCAAAGCGTGCATTGTCACAGCTTGATCGATCAGTATGCGAAGTGTTTTTGTTCGTGAGTTAATTTGCTTTAGAAGTTTTATTTAACTGGTAATCTTTTGGCAAGAATTAATAATCTGTGCATATTCTTATCATATTTCTATGATGTGGCATGGTTGGCATGCGCTGTACGTTATAGCGCTGTCTCTCATTGCTGCGTTTTTCATGCATGGGGTTGCGCCCTCGATTCTCGGAAGTTTTTCTGCACCCTTCGGCTTTTCACGTACCCAGCGTAAAAATCAACATGTGAGTTTAATGATGTGTTTTTGTAAATAGTTAATGTAGTGGTAGTGCATGTGTAGCGAGTCCAACAGAAGAGCCTCCTGACTTCGTGGCATTGGCCTTTTCGCACTGCTGATAATTATTATCTTTGACATATGATGATTTAAACCTTATTAATATCGTAAACTTGATACTAACAAATCATGAAGTTACTCATTAGCAGAAAAAGACTGCGCTAATGTATTTTGTCATCAAGAATGTTCAGGACTTTGTTGTTTCGCCATATTTTCCCATTCGAAGGTCAAAGCAGGTATTTTCCGGACCAAGTGGTATTACCTAATCATTCGTAATTTGTTTAACATGTGCATATGAGAATATTTATGAATATAGATACAACTCAAACAAGGAATATTATTCTCTAGGGAAAGACACGTGGTCTGAAATGGGAAAAACATTACGCCGAAGCTAATCATTTGTTTTTTTTAATGGTGCAAATAAGCGAGTGCGGTGCCCACTGACCTGCGAAGAAATAGCACGTCGTTCTTGGGTTTCCGCTGTTTTTATCTCTTCAGTCCATGTTCGCACAAGACACTTTACTACTCGTTGCAGCTGAAAGTCAAAATCTTCATTTCTGACGCTTTTTCTAATATGGCATTTTTGCAGTGTACTCGTTACAGCTTGTTTAGCAGGTTTTATCGTCTTAGAATTGGTGCATGTATTTTTTGAGAGACCTAGAGTTGACCTAGAATGAAAATATTTCTAAGCAGAAAATAACCACACTAAACAAAATAAATAGTGAATAGTGCAATAAATGATCTTTTTTCACTTTTGAGGTTCAAGACAGAGTCGATCTATAGTGGRAAAAAATATGCTACATCTCATTGCGATGACCTTCACTTTTAAAGTCGTCCGTCGCCAGCTCCTCCCTCTTTGATCCCCGGCCCTCATGAAAGCGTACCACTTAGGTTGCCTGCGTAAGGTTACATCAAGTAACATTTTGCATTTTTTTCAATCAAAGCTGCTGCAAAACTCACATTTTGCTGCGTTCGCAGATTGGAAAATCGAAATTCAAATCATTCAAACTTGGCAGGCACCACATCAGGAGCCAGTAAAATAAACTCATCTGAAAAAATAAATATATACAAGATGTAGAAATTAAAATTTAAGCTTTGGAAAATTTTTTTAAACGAGAAATTGAGAATCTAAAAGTGCCCAGCGAAAATAAAAATGGTTAGTGTTTCGATAAGATATAATAAATATTGTCAAGATAAATTATCTTAAAATCCTAATATATATATATATATCTATATATATGTATATGTATATACTTGCCATGGTTGATGATTCTTCAATTTTCTTGCAAAAAACGGTGTTAAATAAAAGTTGTCAGCCTATATAATAATATGTATAAGCTAATTCTACACTCAAAGACTTCAATTGCATTGTTACGTCATCAGTGTAGTGCCCAGTCATTTATTCTTGCTCGCGCGCGGAAAAGGAAAAAAAAAAAAAGACTGACTAGCCCCAGTGAAAACCGCGCATGCCTTCACAATGCCGTATGCGTGCCTTGCCGTGACCGTGGCGGCGATGTTTTCTAGACTTTTAATTGGCTGATTGCTTTCTTGCGCAATGTGATTGGACTGGCAGTGCCGTGATCTTGGCGTGAGCATGTCCAAGCCATGTTCGTGCGGTGTTCCGAGCATTTGGATGCAGAGTAAATTCTCGTGCAATTTGATTGGTGTGGCGTATGCCATGCCCTGTCACTACCGGGTTTGTGCCGCGCGCTTTTCACACTCATACGAAAACTGCTCTACCAAAGCTTCTTTGTCGCATACCACTTGTACCAAATCATCACTACTCGCTCGTCATTTTGTTGAACTGCGATACCATTTGCTAGCCGCGGAATGCTATGGTTATTCTCCTTATGAAGCGCCGCATGTTGGATCTCGATGAATAATAAATGGCACCAGTAGGGATGCGCATTAAGTGCCCAACTAGTTCGCTGCTATTACCCTATCCTTGACGGATAATCTAATTACGATAATGAAGATGAACTATCTTCCAAGGTCACTATCTTTCCAGACCGTGTTAATGGAGAAGAATAATAATGTTTTTTTAATGTTTATTACCATAAGTGTTTCTTGGGTTAACAAAAGAAACGAGATTGGTAAATAGAATGCGTGACAAATGCGATGTAATAAAAATAATGCTTTATTTAGACATCGTATCTACATCATTAAATATATATACACTTCATGAGAGCCGTGTAAATGTGTACTTTTTACTTTCGAATACAGCTACTTTTCTACTTAAAATTTCCTGACGACAGAAGAGTCACTTAAGATTTCCTGACGACAGAAGAGTCACGACATAATTTGGCGGGTGTTTGTGTTTCAGTTTACCGGGTCAATAATATTTATGAGTTATTCCTCGAGCGAAGAGGCAAAAAGCTTACTTTTTAAGTTATGACTAAACAAACAAACAAATCGCTTGTTGCATCTTTCTTTATTTCGTACGAAAAGGAATAATATTTGATCCCAAAATATTTTTACCTTTTTAAAACAGAGTTTAGATTTCCTAGTTCCATTCATAT